TCCTTCCGAGGAGTGGCTGGTGGGTTTGAACCGCCAGCCTTCTGGTGAGCAGTCAAGTGCCTTAGCCACTATGCTACCAGAGCTCCCAATATATTTAGTACTGATATTAAATAGCCAATACAGGTTTGATGGATTAATTTAAAGATATAAGACAAGAAAGCACATGTCTTAAAAGAATGTGATGTCTTCAGTGAGGATGAACATGCTTTAATAAAGTTACATTTTTTCTAGCTTAGAAAATAGGTCTGTGTGCTATTTAGATAATTTTCCAATATTCTGTTCTTATATTCTTATTTTTTTATTGCATTATATTCTTATTATTATTAAAATATTATTTTTGCCATATATTTTTATTTTTGTTCTCAACCTTACTGTAGAAATGTATATGATAACCAAAACTAGACAATACATGGAGGGAAAGTCTTGCTATCCCTGTGAACATGAATGCAATTATTTGGTACTACATAGGATGATAGTTTTAGCATACTCACCCCTTTCTCACCCCACCTTCCCTATGTTCTGAGATAATTTATATTCTATAATAGAAGATCTCCCCATCACTAAACTTTGTTAATTAATAACAGTCTATAAATAAATTGTATTGTGGGATTTTTCTAATAACAATAATCTAAATAAATCAAAGATTGCAAAATATTAAAAATCAGCAGTCTTTAAATTATTCTTTTTGCTGTTTTCTTCCCTGTAATTAAAAAAAATACAGTATGAACATGGAGAGAATTGGAGAATAACTGAAGCTATGACTCTCCATAACTGACCATAAATCTGGAGCATTTTTGACCCAACTATCAAGGTTTGTTCAAAATGTGACTTCTAGAAATGTATACCTAATTAAGGTGCACCCACTACTGAGCTATATAAGGCATGCTTTATCCAGATTGAAGGTAAGTGCTAGATGATTATAAACCATAACTATAAATTATTCATTTCACCTTTGCTTCAATGATTGCCTAAATATTAACCTTAGATCCTGAAATTCAAAATTGCTTTTCAAAATAGGATTTTAATTGTCACTCCAACTAAATAAACTGCTAATAGCCAGGGACCAACTGCAGTACAAACCATCAATTGCTCATAGGCAAGTTTAAGTTGAAGCTGAAAAAAATTAAAACAAGTCCACAAGAGCCAAAGTACAACCTGGAGTATATGCCACCTTGAATTTAGAGCCCATCTCAAGAATAGATTTGACACATTGAACACTAACGACCAGACAAGTTGTGGGATGACATCAGTGACATAACACATGAAGAAAGCAAAAGGTCATTAAAGAGATAGGAAAGAAAGAAAAGATCAAAATGAATGTAAAGAGAGCCTCTGCAACTTGACTTTGAATGTACAGTACTAAAGCAAATGTAATAAATGATGATGTGAAAGAGCAAAATAAGATTTCAAAAGGCAGATCAAGAAAAAAAAGTAAAGTATTACAATGAAACTTGTAAAGAACTGAACTGATAAAACCTGAAGGGAAGAACACACAGGCATTTCTCAAGCTGAAAAAAATGAAAGAAAAAAAAAATCAAGCCTCGAGTTGCAACAGTGAAGGATTCTATAGGCAAAATATTGAACTCCAAGGGAAGCATCAAAAGAAGATGGAAGAAATATATGGAAATATACAGCGTTGACCATGTCAACATTCAACCATTTCAGGAGGTAGCATATGACAAAGAACCAATTATATTAAAAGAAGAAGGCCAAGCTGTATTAATGGAATTGTCAAAAAAACAAGTCTTCAGGAATTGGCAGAATACTAGTTGGGTGTTTAAACAAACAGAAGCAGTACTGGAAGCACTCACCTCTCCATGTCAAGAAATTTGGAAGACAACTATCTCACCAACTGACTGGAAGAAATCCATTATTTGTGTCCATTCCAAAGAAAACTGATCCAACAGAATACAGAAGCTATTGACTGTCTCTAATGTGGGCTGCTAAAGCCCTAGAAAGCTGAGGTGACTGACAAGCCCCAGGAGGTTGTGTGGTTTTCTGAGGCACCCAGAGCTTGGCTGTTAGTATTATGGGGCTCCCACTGCCTTCTAAACCACACTTTAAATATTCTCTCCATTTTGATCCAGTTTTTTTCATCCCTAAAACCCCAAAGTAATTCCCTGCCCACGTGGATATCGAGAACTTTCTCCCA